ATGATTGCTGTCATTGTCCCTTCTTTTTTGATCAGGTAGAAATCCTCTGCCAATGTGTCAAACTGTCTCCATAGCTACCTTACTCACATGAGCCCTGTCCTTAGATGAGGTACAGACTGTAAGGGTAGAAACAGCAAGGTGTGTGTCAGGAGAAGCATAGGAGAGGGTGTATTTTGGTTTGGCAGCTTCCTTTTATCAGTGGGTTTCTCTGAATCAGTCTTGCTAGTTTGGTTGAGTGGGTAGCTCTGTGTACACTGTTGCTTTAGAAGATGTCTTAAAAGAGCACAGTTGCCTAAGGATTTTCGGTAAGAGATCCTGTGGCTTTTAAAAGCCCTTACTGATGGCTTATTCAGGGAAAAAAGGCCTTATTTGGGTAGTGGTGCTGGGAAAGGCTTGTTTAGATGTACTCTCTTTGCCTCAGCATGCTGGTGACCATGGTGTCAGCTCCATTGAGGATGGATTAAGAGTATCTCTGCCCATGGGCATTTGCAGTGCCTTGGATTAAAGCCAAGGGACATGTCTGTGGTGGATGGCAGCTTTGAGGGCCTGATTTTTTTCATGGCATTGAAAAATCCCAAGAAAATACGCAAGGAGACAGCAATAACTCTTTTCAGTAATAAGAATGTTTTGACCATAGCCAGTGTAAATTGCATCAATGGAATTGGTGTCTGAATCACATCCAGCACATCCATATTTTTTCTCTCCCACAGCACCACCCAAAGAACGTGTTCTTCTCCCCATTACCAGGCTGCCTGCATCATGTCCTCCTGTGCTGCTGAGCTTTCCTGATTTTTAATCAGGTCTTCAGGATCCCTCCAGAAAGACAGACCATGCAAGCTGTAGATCAGATGGTCAGAAAACAGCAAGAGACACCACAGACCATGTCAGTAGTCCCTGAGCTGCTCTTGCTCCTTGCAAGCATGAAGATGGATTCTCCCTGTGAGAGCATGGCCTTCTACTTGCTCTGTGATGGCCCTGACAGTAAATGTCACAGTGAGAGATGGTTCTGCAGGTGGGCATCAGCTCCTTTGTCTTTGGGCACTGGCTTGAAGGTCCCATTCCTCTGAGAATGGCAACATGCTCACCTATGCCATTCCCAGCTGGGCCATATGTCCATCCACTTACATTTCCCAGGGCAAACTTCACCTACATAGCCCAGCTAGCCCAGGTGTCACTAGATGCCATAGGAATTTGAAGGGAAAGGAACTGGGAAGTGGCTAATCTGGAATTGCACCTGGCAATAACAAGTCAGTGGAGGTGGTGTGGCCAGACACACTTGGGTGTGTCATACATGCTGGTGACCTGCTGGAGCATGTCCTTCCCATCTGGTCTCTGCACCTGCTTTTCCTTTCCATGGAAACCAGGATACATAGGTTTGGGAAGGGCCAGGCTTGTGCTGTCAGGTGTATCTGGACTGTTCCCAGCCAATGGGAAGGTTCAAAAGCCTGGCTGGCCACAGGGCACCCTTCTGCCCAGCTCCACAGACTGCCCCAGTGACTGTGTGCCTGGGAAGGACTGGGGTAGCAGCACTGAGCCAGGTACTCCACACACCACCTTCCGCTTCTTGAGGATCCAGATGTGCCTGTGCTGCTGATAGCAGCTTTACCAGGGAAATTCTACATGCTTCAATGTCTTTAGTGGTTAGGTGAGTGAGATTCAAAATTAAAAGAAAAAAAAAAAAAGGAGCCTGTTTGAGAGCACTGTTTTTAAGAGCATAATCTCATTCATCATCTGTGTCTATATTTTCTTTTTTAATGTTGAGGGACCACTAGAAGAGATTGCTCTAGCTGCAGTAATAAAGATCAGAAGATGGAAGATGGCTGATTCTTGAACTGGACTATTTTTCTCATTCCTTCTGGATTATTTGTTCTCGTAGTTGCCAACAAAAAGCTAACTTACACTATGTAAGGAGTATCTTAGCAATAAGGAAAACATCCTTAGATATCCTGAAACTCTGATGAGAGACTGTTTGCAAGGAGAAACTAAACACAGGAAGGTATTAATCTGTTATGGAGGGCTTTTTGGGCTGGACATCAGAAGGGTCCTGGAGCTGGCCTGCCAGAGACAGTCAGGCTCCTTGCCTCCAGAACTGAAAGCTGGTTATAGTGTAAGAAAAATCTGCAGAGAACAAAGATCCCTTCTTCAGGGGCTCATTTGCCAAAATTTCTGTAATGAAACACAGCTCCATGCCGAGTGCATCATCCCCAGTTGCATCTACCACAGCTGCTCAGAAGACATTCTATCATCCAACAGTTAATATGCTCAGCATCTGGAAATACAGACAGCAAACATGACAAGCAAACCTGCCAGCCACCACTCTGAGCATTCAAGCTTTGAGTGATGCAATATGAGGTGGACTAAAGTCCAGAGCTTTATTTCTCGGCTTCAGAAGTAAAAGCTCACATTTTGCTCCTGTGAACAGGAATGTGACTTGTGTGACCTGGTCCCTGTGTTAGGCAGCTTCATCCTTTCAGCTGTAAAATCAAAAGGAGAAGCAGTGGTAGAATTCTGGCCAGTTTTTCTGAAAGGCAGAAAAGGAAATTGGGACAAAGAAAGTTACTTAACTTCTTTGGCCTCCTTAAGCTATTGCCTGGTGGATGAACAGATAATGCATAACATCAGCTGAATGCAATTAAATATACTGCTTGTCTTTGCAGATGTCCAGTTAGGTTCCTGTATATACTGTCACAATGTGTGACACAATTGTGCTGTCACAATGTGTGAGAGGGACAGGACTGCACAGCACATTGGGACAGTCACAGTGCCTTGGCAGGTCATGCTCAGTGCTGGCCAGAAAGCTGAAGCATATCAAACAATACTGGACTCTCTCAGGAAATCTGTGCTTGCCCATCAATAGTCTTTTAAATAGACCATCATTTAAGCTGCCTCAGATATAATGCAAGAATTCAAAACACTAGCCCGGGGATGCTATCCCTGTTGAAACAGCATCTGACCCCTCTTGACTGTGGTTACACTTGGTTGTTTTGGATAGATCTTTTTTCCAGTCCTATCAGCAGCAGGTGGTTTCTATCTTGCCCATCCCAAGTGACCAAGAGAAGTGTCAACACCTCTAAGATGGAGGAAAAGTCTGCTGCCAGCACAGTGTGCTGTTGTAATATAAAGGAATAGGCACATCAGAAAGGAGGTACTGATCAGCAAAATCTGCACCCCTTTCTTCCAACACACTTAGGAGCCAAAGCAAAGGATAAGCTATGGTGACAGGATGTATGTTGAGGAAGGCAGAGGATATATCATGAAAATTAGTGGGATAATGCATTGATTAAAATAAAAATAATAAAATCATAGAATGATAGAATGGTTTGGGACCTTAGAAATCATCTAGTTTTAATCTCCCTACTGTGGTGAGGGATACATTTCATTAGACCAGTGTGCTCAAAGCCCCATCCAGCCTGGCCTTGAACACTTGCAAGGGTGGAGCATACACAATTTCTTTGGGCAACCTGTTCCAGTGCCTCACCATCCTCACAGTAAAGAATTTCTTCTTAATTTCTAATCTAAACCTGCCCTCTTTCAGTTTCAAGCCTTTTCCCCTTGTCCTATTGTCAAAAATCCCTCTCCAGCTCTTCTGTAGCCACCTTAAGGTACTGGAAGGTACTAGAAGATCTCCAGACTAAACTACCCCCAACTGTCTCAGCCCGTCTTCATGGGAGAGGTGCTCCATGGCCCTTCTCTGGACTCGCTTGAACAGGTCCAAATCTTTCTCATGCTGAGGCCCCGGAGCTGGACAGAGCTCTCTTGGAGGAGTCTCATCAGACTGGAATTGAAGGGGAGGATCACAGTCATAAGATGCTCCCCTGCTCACTGTGACACTACTCCATTGGGCAATCACAGCCACACGTGGTCTCAAACTGGGGCTGAAAAGCTGATATGAAGAGTGGTGTCACTATAGGACACAAGAAAACACAATGTATGCCTTTGTTTTTCTGATGGTAAAAGAGAGGAAGTTTATTTCTGACTCCAACATTTATAGTTTTCTAAAGGTGACAGTGGATTGGAGGGTGAAAGTGCCACCTCTCCAACGACACTGGACAAACTATTAGTCTATCAAATTTCTCCTCCTTTATGAAGGAATGCAAAACAATAAGTTATTTACAGAAAGTTGTGTGAAAAATTTACTACAAGAATGTAAACTCAGAAAGCTTTAGAAAATCTTAAAAAATGAAGACAACAAAGTGGCATTTCCTTCTGCTCTCTATGGCTCTAGTGTAGCTTTGAACTGAAAAATTGTCTAGAAGTACCAGGAGCTTTCTGAATGACAGGAAAATATGCGTATGAAGGTAGATCATTTGCTGCTGCTTAAGGGTCCCGGTCACCTAAAGACTTCATTTCCTCTTCTTGTATCTCCTTCAAGCTCACAAATTTACTGTTGCTTTAACTTTCTATGCACATGGGATTCTTAGATTTTGCCTCCTAGAAATTTGAGGAAACATATCAAAGTACTTTTTAAGGGGAATGTGGTCCCTTGAGGGTCCTAGAGGTATTGCTAGCAATTTAACTGTCATGAGCTTTATTTTTTTAAATAGATATGTTGGTGCTTTTTTAACTACATTTTTTACTAATATACTTCCACAGTGAAGAACCCAAATCTTCAGCTCCATGAGTAGAGACATGCAAGAGCAGTAAATGGAGAAAAGGCAGTAAATGGAGAAAAGGCAGTAAATGGGAATGTGGCATGTTATACAAGTGTTGTTGAAACTTCATGAGAAAATCCCTAACAAGGATGGTCTAGAATCCTTTTGTAATTACGTCATAATTTAAAAATTCTATTACTTTATCTGCACCTCAAATTTTGACTCATGTTCCCCACTGTTTTGTCAGTAATGTGAATAAGGCAGCAGGATGTTCTCACACCTCCAAGGACATTTCAGTCTTGTGAAATTATGGCCCACTTACAGAACCTCAGTATCTGTTTCTTGTTCCTTCTCCCCTGTAGTCAGAGGAGATCCCTTGTTAGCTGTGCGATCAATAAAAAGCATTTCTTCAGCCACAGGTAAATCTAGTTTATTAAAACACAGTTCTAACAGTTAATTCAATTGCCAACAAAGTGGTAGCATGGTCAATACAAAAAAAATTACCTCATAAGTGAGATATATATATCTTCTAAATGCAAAATTATCTGATAATTGGGTGCACTGGGCACATACAGACAGAAGCATGTGGGTGAGATTAGACAGTGGCTAATTTTCTGCATTCTCTTGCAGTATTTGAAGTGGGTGGTGTCTCATGAGAGGCTTCAGCTTGTCACTCATAGCTGTTGAGGTTTCCTCCTTGGTGAAAACCACAGAAGATTTTCACCCTTCCTTCCAATTATGTAACTGCTATATCTACACTCTTACCATCTCAATCATATTCCCATTTCAAACCACTGCAATTATTCCCTCTTTCATCGACAGCATGGGATCAAGGAGTTCACGTGGCATCATTAGGTCAGCTCTCCGGTATGCTACTGCATTATTGAAATAAGGATTTGAAGAATGAACTTTAGTGAAGACTTCTGATAAAACTCTGTACTTACATTAAAGGCGGTATCAAGTGACTGAAACAGATTGAATATAACCTTTAGATAGCCAAGAAAAAAATGTGCCTTTTCCAGTGATTTGCCAAGTACTTTTCCACCTGACCAGCAATGATTTGTATTCTGCATATTTCAGACAGAACTAAAAATAGCTTGCTGCTGTTATTTTTGTTTGGGAGCAATAACATTCAGTTTATGGAGTTCTTTCTCCATAAAAAGTTTAGAGCATTGAGAAGTATAGTCACAGAGAGAAACCTTCCTTTGTTTGAATTTCACAGTGAGGGAAGGCGTTCAGCATTTTTGTTAGTTTTCATATAAGCCCAGTTGCTTTCTTGGAAAATATGATTAAACTTCTTGTCTGTTTTTAGTAAAAGATGAGGTAATTAAACCCAAAATCTAAATGTGGCCTGAGTTTGGAGCCTGTTTTCACTTAGGTCTAATTTTTAGAAAATATTCAGAGACTTACAAATACAGACAGCCATTTGATGAAATTTTCCAAAGTACCCACAAGAGTAGATTCCCATTGCTTTCTAAAAAAACTCTCCTCCACTGTCTCTGTTGCCCATCTTTCTTCCTGTACCTGGGTTAGTGCTTCCCTGTTGCATTCTTTCATGTTTGATGCAGGAAATTCAAACCAATAAGAAGTTAATCCTATGAAAAAAGGGATAATTTTCCTCCTCAGACAAGACTGAAGATGAATGATTTGGAACCCCTTTGGCAGCTGTTTGGTGTCAGACTGATTTACCTGTGCAGAGGAAACCACTCCCTAGCAACCTTTTTGGACCAAAATAATTTTAAAAGTTTGTCTTTGGATCCCTGCATGGGAATGGAACTGCTTAGGCTCAGCTTCGTGAAAAGCACTGGCAACACTGGGCATGAAAACGAAGTGTTACAATGACTTTGAAGGAACTGACACCACATGAAGAGCTGCAGGATGCAGCCCTGTGCTCTGGGCACCCACATCCTGCCCTCACTGCCAGCAGGCATCTTACTCACAACACTCCAGGATGATGCCACTTGCTTGAAATCGTTCTCTCCCTTGACAACCCATGAAATGTTAAGCAGAATACATTGGTAGCCAGCTCAGAGTGGAAAATTTAGAAACGTTAGTGACTTCTGAGCAGCCTGAGCTAGTGCTGGGTCCTGTTTGCCTCTCTTCCTGCTTTTTAAGTCAGCCTCAGTAGAAAGCATCAGTGATCCTTTATATTTCTTTAATGTGCAACCACTTTGACAGTATTTGCAAGGGGAACTGGCAGGGTACTGTGAATGTGTAGGGAATCACAGTCTCTGAACCCCTGCACATGCAGGGAAATGGAGCGCTGAGAGGTTCAGGCACAGACACTGAAGTAGTCGGGTGAGCAGTTTTCCTTTGAAGTCGCTCAGTATTGTGAAATGAAATAACGGGACTCCAGTAGCAAGGTGGATTCCTTTCACTGCCTTGTCCTGGGGGGGGTGAACAACAGAGGTATCTCTACACTGCTAAACAGAAGTCAACCAAGGATCATACCTAGCCACCTGTCCTCAGATCATATGGACTCAGTTTTGTCACCCATAAGGACCTCTGTCCCAGAGACGTCTGCTTCAGAGATGCCTGACAGTGAGCAGCAGAGCTGCAGGCTGGCCAGCAGCACTGACACAGCCTCTGTCATTCAATAGTATGAACCCAGTCTAGAAATCCCATCAGGACTGTATATATATATATTGTTTTGCGATTCTGCACCAGCTATCTGCAGCACAAACTTCTGATTTTTGCTTTGAAATTTTCAGCAGCAAAGTAATAGAGAAAAGGGTCGAGGCAGTTGTTCATGGCAGCGAGGCAGAGAGTGACCACCAACGCCTTGTGCAGGCTGGCCTGGCTGCAGCTGCTATATAGCAGGTGGACAGTGCGCAGGATGTGATATGGCAGGAAACAGATGAGGGAGAGGATGAGAGTGATGACAATGGTTAACAGTGCCTTCCTGTGACACACTGCCCTCCTGCTCCGCTGAGCCCTGGACTTGAGCAGCGCTCTGATGGCAAAGACATAGCAGAACAAAATTGTGCAGAATGGCAGAATGAAGCCCACGACGAGGACAAAGCTGTTCATCATGAGGAGCCTGTGTGTGCTGGGGGGGTGGAGGTCCAAGCATTTGACTGGGTTGCTGTAGCCAGCGATTCCCTTGTTTAACAGAGGGCTGGCAGCTAACAGCACAAAGATCCATATGGCTGCACAGGTAATCCTGGCATACTTCGTGTTGGTCACTTGTCCATGTTTGAAGGGGTGGACGATGGCTACAAAACGAACCACGCTGAGCACAGCGAGGAAATAAATGCTGCAGTACATATTCATGTACAAGCTGTAAGTCATGATCCTGCAGAGGATGTCGCCAAATATCCAATGTGATCCCAAGAGGAAATATGAGGCCCGAAAGGGCAAAGTGCTCACAAACATGAGGTCTGAAATAGCCAAGTTCTGCATGTAAATGTTTACTGAGGTCCTTTGCGAAGTCTGGAAGAAAACATAAATGGAGAGGCTGTTTCCAACAGCACCCGGAAAGAAGATAAAGAGATACACGATGGGATAAATTACTTGTTTGAAACCGTCAATTGTACAGTTGGAGGAGCTGTTAGTGAAGCTGCCATCTACTGCCACCTTGGAAATGTTCATAGTCTGAGCCAGCGTCTCCATTTTTCTGTTAAAAGGAAAAGAAGTGGTGTGAATGCTGGGTTATAGGCTGGGCAGGGAGTTTGGCTATTTGGGACGGTTTCACTGAAGGCAGAAATTGCAAGATGCAGATGACAGTGGGAAGTAAGGGTTCGTTAATGAGTAATTACTTGTGATGTCCCAGTAAATACACATCTCAAGACACAAAGCCCCAAGTAAGCTCTAATGAGTTTCAGTACTACAGCAACTGGTTGTGTTCTCAGCCTGTAAAAGTGCTGCTTTTAGACGTTCTGTGTGTGTGTTTTAATGACAAGTCTCTGATCTTTGCTGTGCAAAACAAGCCAGCTTGCTGTCAGCCATTTTGTGGCAGGGAAGTTTTGAGTCCCTAGTCACCTACCATGGAAACATCAAAACCTGATCAGAAAAGAAATCACTGTCCACTGCTAGGCCTGCATTTCAAATAAGGAATGAAACCAAAAGAACTGAATCTGCCTTTTGGAACCAGGAAATCTTTTCTGGTATGTTTTTGGTAGTATTTCCTGAGCAATACCAGGTGTATTTTGATACATGTAAAAATTAAGGACATTTTGACCTTAAACACTTTGCAAACACTGTGCTAATTATCCACAATTAATGTTTAACTCCCTCCTCCATGCACTGTATTTCTTCTTGTTAGCTTCTGGTGGCTTTCTATGTCTCTTTTTGTGGGGCCTTTGCTCCACGTACCACTCTCTTAACCTTTTTTGTGCTCAGCTGTTCTGCACCAGTCATCCACACACACTGCAGCTTCCAGGGCAGCCTACCTTTGCAGCCCTAATGAAAATGGCCGTGCTCACAGACAGAGGCATTTTTCCTCCCGTGAGGCTATGACTCAATCAAATAAAATCAAAACTGCCCACCACTAATACACTCTAAATAATTTTTTTTTCTCTAAATGTGTATTTATTTTCTGAACTCTTGATTTCTTATCTCAGCTGTCCTGCAGCTAGTAGTATTTTCAAAGGAAGGTGTCAGTATTTTTTCTTGTTTCGACAGTTGAGCAAGTCCCTCTTTATATATACCAATATATTCTAAAGATGGGGCATGGAAATTTTTAGCCTGAAAACCACAACTACATGGCATTTCCAGATGCATGGAAAATAAGCTTTTAATTTGCCCCAGTGAGAGTGATAATGTGCCCATGGTACACAACTCCATCCTATCTCTTATTCTGAACCTCAGTAGCTTCACAATTTGAAACTAATTTATTTGTACAAGTGAAGCCTCCTTAGGGGTAAATTTGGCTTTACATTTTGGGTGCTTTAAACACCCAGCTACCCAGTGTGCTGTGAATGGGAGTTAATTTGCAAACTGGAGCCATGATGTGGAAGCCTGAGCTATGTTCAGAGCAGGCCATTGTATCTCCAGGGTTGTGTCTCAGAGTCTGTCCCAGTCCCTTGAATATAGCAAACAGATGTGCCCCAGCAGGCTTCTTTCTATCCAGCCTCACTGGGATGGGGAGCATGGGAAGCACAAGCCCAGGCTGGGCTCCCAAGGAGCATTTCATGGATATTGGGTCTCAGCAAAGCCCTGGACTGACTAAACACATGTTCCTGAAGTTAATCTCCTCCTCATTTGAGATCCTCTTTCTTCACGAAGAAGATGGAAAAGATATTCTTCTTCAAGACAAATCTTTAACAATCAAAGGACCCTAATTAAATAAAAACTTAATTGTTTTTGTTTTCTTTATGGAAAACATATACATATATCAGACATATACATAAACATATGTCTGATATACACATTTTCTGTATGAAATCAAAGACCAGCTGTTCTCCAAAATCAATATGATACCCCCATTTTTCAGGGAAACATTACAGCCTGAGGTTCAGCAAAGGAAAAAGCCCTTCTGATTCTGTTTTCCTGTGGTCCAGACATCCTTGCCTTTAGAAACCCCAAACACAAGAAAATATTAGTAAAGGGATCTGCCACCTGTCGAAGCATTCTTGTTGTGTGTGAAAGCTGTGAGGTAGAGGAGTCAAATGAGGTTGAAGAGCTTGGACTGTGGACAAATTCCACACCCTGCACAGGACTATGAGTGATTGCTTGTGTCCAGTCCTATCTGATGAAGGATGAGACTGGGGCAATGAATATTCAGTTGATGAAAAGCCCTTGGGTCCCTGCACCCTGGGAAGAGCACTACATGCACAGGGCCTGAGGCACTTAGCTCAGGCTCCTCATATGAGGGTATCTAGCTAACAACTACCATTTAAACCGTTTTCTCCTCTAACTGCACAAATGCTCCTCAATTCTCTTTCCAGCTAGACCAAGACTAAGAGTAGAATAGTGCATGTGCAATTGAGAAAATTCAGCATCCTTGGCCCTAGCAAGAAAATCAGTTCTCAGACTCCTCTCCAAGTTATTCCAACACAAGTTTCAAGCTGTTATGGGATGTCCAAGAGAAAGAAACTGTAGACCAGTCAACTGAAAGCTCTTAAAGCACCATGGTGCCTGCACTCAGTACAGGGCCAACAATGACCCATGCACTTTTCATATGTAGATGCTCCTGTTAGCTGTGTCTTGACACACAGATCAATGTGGAAGGGAAGGTGAAGTGAAAGATATATTTCACTTGGGACTACTCAACCAACCACAGAGGATAAGGGGAGAATTTTAGCCTTCTTTGAATCCAAGAACTGTTATTAGCCAGCAAAGGTTAGAAGATGGCTACTAGATATACAGAATGAATGATCTGAGGACAGGCCATAAACTTCATTTTCAGCAAAAGTGTCCAGATGGTCTCCTGGGTCATGAATGAACATGATGGGTTAAGGGTGAGAGACTGGACCTATAGGAATTTTTTGTGTATCCCAAAAGAAGGGAGATTTGCAGTAAGATCTAACAGCCCTCCAAAAAAAAAAAAAAAAAATGGAGAGAAAAGGACAAACTGAAATGGGATTCTCTCTTCAGTGATACTGCAAGACTCCTCTGATAGAAATTCTGTAACAGGAGATTTTTTCTATATATGAGTTTCACTGATGGAAGCTATCAAATGGAAGCAGCTGACACATGTCCTGAGGCTCTGACAATCTCCCTGGCATGAAAAAGAGAAAATCAGCTGAGAAAGAAAAAGAGAGCCTTTTCTGAAATAACTGCTGCATGAGTAGATTAGATGTAGAGTTTGGGTGGGTTTTTTATCTTTTCTTAATCTCTGTGAAATCTTTTAAAAATATTTACAGCTTGATTAGCAAGGACGTTATAAAGAAATATTTATCTTTCATTACAAACACATCTATATTATAAATTAAACATATTTATTATGAATATATATTTTTCCTTTTATCTTAGTGCAATTCTAGTTAAGATGATAGCAGAAAAATGTTCCTCACTTAAGGCGAATTTTACATCCTTAACAAATGGATAAGTGTGCAAGACAGGTAGGGGGCTGATAGAGCAAAAGTAAGAGGAGATTTATTTAATTGAAGGATATACTAAACTAATTAAAATACCTCAAACCTCTCATATTTTAAGCCCAGGATCCAACTACCCACAAATCCAATAGACTGGCACATGCTATCTTGAACATCTGATCAAAACCAAATCTCACATGTAATTCTGCACTGATCTCAAACCTGAAAAAGAGACAGAGCACCCATCAGGCTTGGCATGAGACCAAAACCCTGGTGCAAAGGAAAGCTCAGAGACCTGCAGGAGAAAAGATAATCAATAGGAGCCTGTGTTGCCATGCTACCAGCTTTATGGTAATGATGCTGTAGGATGCTCGGGTGGAGGAGTGGCACTGTGCAGGAGGGACTATATAACTCACAACACTGTAAAAATATTGTGGCTAAAGAGAAGCACAACAGTGTTCTTGTAGGCAGACTCTAATGAAACAGATATGCTACTAGAAATGCACTACCGAGCTCCTTATCACGTTATGACAGTTGCCAGAGCACATTAAGTGAGGATAAGAAGCTAGAAAGCAGGTAGCAATGGAAGGAGGTTTGCAGCATTGTTATAAAGATGCAATGCTGCAGCAGGATGAGATGTTATGTTCATAAGCAATGACTTCCAGATTCCTAGAATAATTAGTCCTGAAAAAAAAATCCACAACACAAGATGCCATTCTACCTTGGTATTCTACCTCTACAAGATGCCATCTGATCTTTAGTGCTGCACAGGTTTTGGTGAAGGTAGGTCTGTACTGTTAATCACAGTAGAGCTGGGCTCAGCAGCACTGTGGGACAGAGAAGCAGTCCCAGAAGGAAGAAGCCTACAGAAATTTGGGGGCTGTGAAAACAAACAAGAAATTCAACAAGCCTACATTCCAAAAGAAATAGGCATTTTAAGAAATATTGAGTCAAACGTCTATCAGTAAAATGGTTACCAAGACTACTCAAAGGAAAAGATCTCCATTTGGAAAACAGAAGTCTTGTCAATATGGGGAGAACAGGAAAGTCTGCATCATGACAGATCAAATGTGGAGAGGAAACAAGGAGCATTAAAGAAAAAAAAAATAGTGAAGGGCTTCTGGTAAAGGATGTTCTGGGTTGACCGTAAGTTTTGTAAACCTACTGAAAGATGAAAAAAACACTTGGGAACTAGCAGGGGAGTTTGGTGGCAGAAGATCTCTTAGAAACCAAGTCATAGCATGAATACTCAGGGAATTCACTCTTCCCAACCAAAGATGTTGGGATATTTTCAGGGCTGGTGCAGTAAAAAGGACAGAGGAGCCAGCTCCACTCAAGAGATGTGGGCAGGAAGTACTAAACCAACTAGATAAGTGAGAGTCCAAAAAGTAATTGAGACCAGATGGCACTCATATCAGTATCCCAAAGGATCTCAACCGTGAGACTGCCGGCCAAGGCACGAAACACACCATTGCAATCAGGCACTGTGCCAGGGGACTGATGTGTCATCAGTGCAGCTCTCATTTACCAGAAAGGCTTGATAAGGCTGCTCAAAGCTCGTCATCAGTCCTGGGAGCTACTGACCACTAGGACCAATTTCCTCCTCTGGGACATTTTGGGGGCATCTGTAATGAAGAATGAAGGCACTGAGCTCATTGAAATGCCAGTCTGCTGATAAAAAGTCATTATGTTTTCTGAAAAGGGAGATCCTGTTTGGCTTACCCACTGAAGGGCTGTGGTGACAATGGATGAAGGAGACCCAGTGGTCGTTTTATACATATATATATATATATATACACACACATATATATATATACATATATATGGATGTATATATCTGACCAAGGCAGACTTTTCTCTCTACTTCACTCTTGTGAGACCCCACCTGAACACTGCATTCAGCTCTGAAACCCTGACATAAGAACATCATGGAGATGGCCCAGAGCAGAACCATGCAAATGGCTAGAGGGCTGGAGCACACCTTCTGTGAAGACAGGCTGAGAGAGATGGGGC